AGCTTCTGGAGGCAAGGTGATGTCGTCGTCAGCGATGAGTTTGCAAAGCCGAGGAGACCGGTCGGGTGGTGGAAATTCACATGTTGGCACAAGGGACACTTCGGCACGGGAACAATCGATGATAGATTCATGACGTGATAAGAAATCCCAACCGAGGATAAGGTCATGAGAGCAAGATGGCAGAACAAAAAACTGTACGACGTACAAAACGTCTTGGATGACGACGCGCACCGTACACACAGCAGAGGGATGAATGCGTTGGGCCCTAGCTGTGGACAGCATCATGCCACAGAGAGATGTGGTCACTTTCTTCAGTTTCCGACAAAATTTTGCGTTCATCACAGAAACGGCGGCCCCAGTATCAATTAACGCTAATGTGGCGACTCCCTCAACATCAACATCAACAACATTTTGCTGCGAAAACGGAGGCCTTGGAAATTGCGCACAAGTTGCAGTTCTTGCCTCCGGAACTGCACTGATTAGTTTCCCTCCTTAGGAGGTGGTCGACGACGCGTAGGCGATGGCGATCAGCGACGAGGGGATGGGAAACGAGCAGTCGATGGGCGGCGATCCGAGTCTGAGGGCCTCTGTTCATATGCATACCCGTTAGGCCTGCTGCGGCGCGTAGATAGGAGTTCTGAAGTATGCGTTTGCAGGTGTGGGGCAACGGCGGCAGAAGCATGCAATGTGGCCAGCGATGCCACAGGTGAAGCAGATAGGGTGATTGTCTTGGGTGCGCCACTCGTTAGATAGACGAAAAAAGCGAAGTGGGGGCCTGTAAAGTGGAGACGAGGCCGGAGGAGGTGGAGCCGATAAAGCGACTGGATGCGGTGGGGGCCGCGCGACAACAGCTGCATAGCTGAAAGGTGAAGGTGGTGCAGGTGGTGCATAGCCGACAGCTGAGAGATTAGGTGCTACTGAAGTGCATGGGTAAGGGGCCTGCACTGTAGGGAGGACATCGCAAATTTCAGGGCGTATGGCCTGCTGCAGTGTCGAAGGCAGGCTTGCGGTGGGCGCGTCACTATGCGGCAGCAGGGAGAGCTGTCAGGCGACTTCCTCCCTGATGAAGTCCTTGATCTGGTTGGACAGACTTTCTTGGCGAATGTTGGTATTTGCGAGTGCGACGGCCGAGATCGAATCCGGCGGTGGGACACTCTGTCGGGCGATGGAACGCTGACGGCGCAATTCATCAAAGCTCTGGCAGAGGCTTACGAGGATTGCCACCGTGGTCGGGCTTTTCGCTAGCAACATCTGGAATGCGCCATCCTCGATGCGCTTGAGAATCTGCCGAATTTTCTCTTCTTCAGGCTGATATGCCCGGGGAGGGGTTGAGGCTGCCACCCAGGAGCCGGCTAAGGACGACTCTTGCGACGCGTCTCACGAACAAGTAGAAGATACGTTTAATTTGCATATTTGCAAGAGAAGTACATTGCAACGAGAGCGTACAGACGCGCCTTTCCATCACAAGGGCCCAGAGCGCACTCGAGACGAGCGTGCCAGCGAAGTCCAGAGAGAGAGAGCCCCGATCGCACACGCGACGCGCTTTTTATACCCCTCGTCCGTGCACGTGCGCACGTGCACCTTTTCAGACGCAGGCTGTGTGTCCCAGCGACGCTGATGTGCGTTACCTGCGGCGCACACAGACGCCTTCCGCGTTCCTGCAGGACGCGGACAGCGTTTGACCGTTACGCCGATGAGCGTCTCTTGCAAGCCACCTCCTTGCTGTGCCGGTCATAACAAGGCATAGATGGATTCACACGCCTGCAGAGGTCGAGCACGTCCTCTATGTAACTAGTAAACGTCTCGCCAGGCTGCTGGGCTCAGTTGCGCAGGCGCTGGTCAGCGCAATGCTTGCGGACCTCTGGTCGGCGGAACGCTTTAGTCACAAGGGTCTTAAAGGAGGACCAGTTGGGGATGGCAGTTTCGCCGTTGGTAAACCAAAGCTTAGCTAGGTCTGCCAAGTAAAAGATAAGGTAGGCGAGCTTAGTGTCGTTGTCCCACTTGTTACTAGCGCTTACGCATTCGTACAAGGAGAGCCAGTCTTCGACGTCTTGCTCACCACTGCCGCTGAAGATTAGTGGGTCCCGTTGGCGAGTAGCGCCGGGGCAGGTAGACGGGACAGCCAATGGTGCTGGCTGGGTTGGGATGGGCTGGCTGGCGACTGTGTCAGTCATGTTTCGCGGTGGTCTCTTGGGCAACTTGCGAGAGCGGACCTCCAGGTCTGCTTGGGGATCTCAGCACCTCCACCAAATGTGATGACGTTTATTGAACCAGAGAAGTCGCAACGACGTCGCAACGAAAAATGGCCGTACGACAAGTTTAGCAAAGGCGGCCCAGGTTCTCATGCAATCAGAGCACGGGGTTTCTCGATCTCTTTGGAAGGCGCATACGCGTTAGTGCGTATGCTCTACTACACATATTTTTTCACATTTACCACATGCGCTCAGAATATTCTGAATGCGTCTGGTAAATATGTTTACTTATGTGGAGCACCTGTTTTTTTTTACCACTCGAGAGTTTGTTTCCAGTGCACAAAGGTTTCCATGCAGACGTGGCGGTCATGGAATTCGCTTTCAGTCATCATGGAAAACCTGGACAGGTCAGGGAATTCAGAAATATGAAATTGGTTGACAACCTGAGATAGCACGCGATCGCACTGAAATGCATCCAACGCCCATTAGGGCTAGCCTGGTGTTCGGTATGTTGTTGCGGGAAGTTTGTCCTAGACATGAAGATCCAATTTCGAAAAGATCGCAGCACCGCCGCGGTGGTCTAGGGGCTAAGGTACTCGGCTGCTGACCCGCAGGTCGCAGGATCGAATCCTGGCTGCGGCGGCTGCATTTCCGATGGAGGTGAAAATGTTGTAGGCCTGTGTGCTCAGATTTGGGTGCACGTTAAAGAACCCCAGGTGGTCAAAATTTCCGGAGCCCTCCACTACGGCATCTCTCATAATCATATGGTGGTTTTGGGACGTTAAACCCCGCATATCAATCAATCAAAATCGAAAAGATCGCACTTAAGTACTGGACCAAGAACAGCGTGCGTGATACAAATTTTGCGTTCGTGGTGGCCAGAAGATTAATAACGACGAAAACTCGCCAAGCTTATGTAGGACCATGCACTGGCAGCAAAGGCGAAAGCTTCCACCACTAACTCATAAAACTTTAAATTTATGGATGAGGTAGCAAACACAATATCTGTAGCAAGCTCGATAACGACGGTGGTTTTCTTGTTAAGTGCAGTTGATAAGGGCCGGATCACATGTGTCTTGTTGAGCTGGTGTAAAGGGTGCAAACTTGCACAGCGTACTGGGGTATTTTTTTTTCCATTTTCTTTACTCTGCCCTTTGTTCACTCCGTGTCCCCTCCTCCTCCATAATGACCTTGTGGCTCGCTCCCCAGTGGCGCACTCAGCACGCCTCCTTTCAGACATGCAATCTCTATGACGTTTCTCACAAAGATTTTCCAGCAAGATAACTGATCTTGGGGGACTGCAGAATAAGTGGTACACCTATACATATGGTTCTATGGGAGAGTAAAAGGGAGTCAAAAAAGACAACATTGTAACCGGTTTTGCCCTATAAGCAGTTACACTATAAGTGGTCTACACCTTATTTTGATGCTGTGGCTGACAATGATGAAGTACCTTATTTACTTACATAATGAACCCATCTTTTTTTTTTTTTTCAGCAAAGTTGATGCCAATTTGCGCGGAGGGTTCATTACGCGGCAGAAAAAAAAAAAGTCACGGCAGTTATAGCAGCGAACATTTCGCGTGATGGCTTTGCTTGTTTTGGCCCATGAAATGCGGACAAATATTTTTTGTAGCCTGAAGCTCTTTTTCTTTCCTCCCGTAACGAAAGCGCACATATCGACGCCAAAGTGTCGTCCAGCCGCTCGATTTTTATGCTCCAGCGTATGCTGTTTGTAACCAGCCGTGTAGCTAGCGTACCAACTGACGCGCCTTGCGCAGCAGGTGTCCCAATGAAGTTCAGAACTACGAACCCGACAACAAAAATGCAGCATCGGATGGTGCCGCACAAGGGTTGCGGTAGACGTTGCGGGTGCACAACGTGCCGTTGGCGCGGTGGGTACCGTTGCACTTTAAATGGCCTCCGAGATGGCGGGCGCGCGGTGTGTTTATACGCTGCGTGCCTGCCATTTCGGAGGCCATGCGCTTTGTATTTCACCTTGTTTTCGTGCCGCTGTCTTTGCGTGATGCTATCAGCAAAGAGGTTTCTGATAACAGCTTTTGCTGTAATAAGTGTGGGATGTCGCCACTCTGTAGCAATTGTCTAATGAATGAATGCCACATGTTCAAAGCCAGTTATAGGTTTGAGCATGTAGATTCAAGAAGGGGCAAATAGGGTGGCTGATGCTTGGCTTGGAATTCGAGTAAACATGATCAGGAAAGCACTGAAATGTGGAATTCCCAATGCCTTGAATGGAACAGAAGGCGGCATGTAAAGAACAGAAGACAGCGGTAAAGAGCAGTTGAAAAATGACAGCGAATGAATAAATTTTTTTTTTTTTTTGCACTGAAAATGTTTCAACATTCATTTTTTGTTCACAATAATCTTATACGCATGCCATTAGAATCTGGGCTTTTTTTTTCTGTTACGAACTCAGGTGTACATCGTAATAGGGGGCTTGTTAGACTTCGGTAAACAGAGTACTTTGTACAGCTGTCTAAGGCATTGCAGTGGGAAGTTGGCCCTTATTTTTTTTTTGCTCTAAAAATTTATTCAGTCAATTTGCGAGACCTTCCAAGTTGAATTCACTGGAACAAGATTTTGTGTGCTAACACCACATATTTGTATACATAAAGATATCTTCTTCTCCCAATCTGGCTCTGGAAGTGTGGAATAACACATTCCAGAGCTATCATTTTTTGGGGTTTGGTAGTGTACACAAATAATAAATCATTAAATCATTTACATGTGTATGGGAGAGAGATTTGACACTTTGTTAGTAATGAATGCTTTTTTTTTTTAATTTCAGCTCATCTCATTTATCTGATACAAGCAACGCATCTGACTCTTCACCTACTAGACCTCTGTCCCAGCAGCTTGGTGATGACTTTAAGTCAGCGGTCCTTCAGTGGCAAAATAAGGGTGAGTACTTAAGTTGCTTTTACTGAGCTACAGCAAATTGCCTTCATTCATACATAGCAAGGTTCATTCAGCTAGTATGCAAGGGCTTGTTGTTCAGCTGTGCATTTGTAAAGGTTCATGTTCTACATAACGTCATATGGCAACAAGAAAAATTGCCCATAGCTCAACTCAATTATGCCTGCATAGCGAAAGGTATGGTTAATCTTATTGGACAGATTTATTTCAGTGTCTGCATGTCTGCAACAGCTTTGTTGCACTGCCAATTCGTTAATAATAAAAATTAGTATGATAGAGTCTCATAAATAAGAAAAAAGTATGCTAATTGGAATAAGTCTGCTTTGCAGGCTTAGAAAAGTTTGCGCTCTGTATAACTGTAATCTTTCCAATAGGTGTGTGCAAATGTTCAAAATTCCAAATATTTTTCAAACAGTATTTGCTTTTTAATTCTATTCGCACTGTAATTTTACTATTCAAACTTACCAAAGACAAATACAGTCAACGCCCAATCAGCAGTGGCCCCGTCAGATTTTTAGTATGCTTCATCCCATCACATTCTCGTATTGCAGCCAAGCTGCCTTTCAGACTCTTGTGGTCGCTAATGCATTGACATGAGAAAATGCTCGTTCCAACTTGTAGATAATAGATGCGGAAAATGTGGGGGCTCAGTTAAGGCTGTTGGGGACCTGAAATTTGGGCAGAAAGTCCGAAAAATTGAATACCATAAATTTTTAGCATCCAAAATTTCAGATGTTCTTATATATTGACGAGTACTAAGCGGATTTGGAATTCTGCTGCACTTGAAGGGGGCACGCCCTTGTCCGCCACATCAGTGGTATTTCCACAGGATATGCAAGAGGAAGGGAGGCTGAGGAAATTGCATCATTGCCTTGCACGTGTAAAACATTGTCGACAACACTTCAGTTGCACCAAAATATGTACATACATACAGTTCGACCTCTGTATTGCCTCATTCTTGTCAAGACAAGTATGAACACCACCCCTTCAGTGCTTCACCAACCTAGTCAAAGGAAACCCTTTCATCATCTTGGGGCTGACATCTGATTAATCTTAATCTGCTTTTGCATTTGGACAGTGCTTCAAATTGAAGGAATCATTGCTTGACTCACTCCTAGCAAAGAAACTAGAATGGACGCACTTGCAGTCATCGCTGCAGACGTGAGCACATTAAGGGGGAGCATATATTCGAAAATTTTGAAAAACAAATTCATACCAGTCCAAACAAGACGTTCATGATGTTTTTGGTTTCCAGCACAGATGTTTTGTTTATTATGAATGCATCACCAGAAGTGGTTCATTTGAAGGAATACTAAAGTAAAGAAACAAATCAGTTTATTTTGATAAATCGTTCTGTAAAACATGTCATGTTAATTTTACCATCATATGTTCAAAAATAAAGGACAAAATCAGACTAGAAATTTTTTTTTTAAATTTCGTGCCGAGATCACCATGCATGACGCCCCGGATTTCAAAGTTTATCTTTTTGTAATTTGGCAACATTGAAGCCCAAACCTCATAAGCGCGAAAATGCACGCGACAGCGACGAGCGACACGACGTAGATCGTCTTCGCGCGATCAGTCGCTAGCGCAGGCAAACCTCATTCACGCGACGGCTTCGGCGAGGGAACTTCACTGTTGCTGGCATGAAGCAGTCTACTCGCACCAAGAAAACGGTGTAGTGAGCGGTATGCAATTTAAAAATACGATATATTGTTGTGTAATGGAACGGAAAGTGTTTATGAATGCCTTGCAGCACTTTTTTATATGCACATACGTAAACATTGCGTCATTTCTTGTTGCGCATACGTGACTCGGGCAGGGTCACGTGCATCTATGTAGTCTTTGTCTTTTCCGGTTTTTGTTATTGGCTGCTTGAGCCCAGCACTTCCGGGCAATGAGCGACGGTTTCCAATTCTGGAGAACCAAGCGATCGCGCGAAAATGAGCACGCGACATGTCGCGCGAACGCCCTGTTTCGTTGCTCATAGCATCGCTCGTCGCTGTCGCGGGCATTTTCGCGCTTATGAGGTTTGCTCTTTACTCAACCAAACTTTCTGAAACTTGGCATGGTGAATCTCTGGCTCCCTTGGAGGACATTATACCACTTTTGCTCGCGTAATGAACGCATTCGCACAATAAACGTACCCCCAACTTCACTCGTCAAAATTTGGATTTTTTTCCCCCGTGTAAAAATGCACCCCCTACATTCATCTGCTGCAGTCCTGCTAACCAACACATGCTGCCTCCTTGCTCACTGGATCTCTTTCATTTTTATTATTATGCCAACCCCCTTCAGCCACCTCGGCTCACTCCTTCCACACCTTCGCCCGTTGCTGCGCGCTGTATTGTTTTTTATCTGTGGGCGGCACGTTCCTACTCTTTTTTAATTATCTATGCATCACAGCGGGGTTCACGAACAATACAAGTCTAGAGACATCACTGCTGCTAAGCACGCAGCAAGCAAAGGTCACAGAACTGCCCGCGCCAACCGACGGTCGCTTCCTGCAAATACGAAACTTTAAAAGACCCAACTACATGCATGCAATTTTCGAGCGACGACAGGATTTGCTCACGCATGGCTGTCGTGAAAGGTCATTCTTCACCATCGCATCTGTAAACACCAGAACAAAGTCCCTTGTTGACCAGGAAAGATCGTAACAAAGCATTTCGTTTCATGTTCTCTTTCCCAGGCTCCGACCTTAGAGTTACTGTATATATGCTAAAGGTAGCATATACAGTACCTCTATCCGACCTGATGCTATAGCGCCTTCTGTCAGCCAGTTAGCACGCGCACGCTGTTGTTTTGGTGCAGTGTTGCCGTAGACTCTCTAGTAGCAGAATACGGCCCTGCCGCGGTGGTCTACTGGCTAAGGTACTCAACTGCAGACCCGCAGGTTGCGGGATCGAATCCCGCCTGTGGCGGCTGCATTTTCGGTGGAGGCGAAAATGCTGTAGGCTTGTGTGCTCAAATTTGGGCGCACGTTAAAGAATCCCAGGTGGTCGAAATTCCCGGAGCCCTCCACTACGGCGTCTTTCATAATCATATGGTTGTATTAGGACGTTAAACTTCACATATCAATCAATTAGTAGCAGAATATGCACGCACGTGCAACACCGGTTTAGGGTGGGTGTTTTAAAACTAATTTTCCTTTCTTGGGAAGCACCACACTACTGTGTTAATCGCGGACAAAGTCTAAGCCCAAAGGAAAGCCAACTTAAAGGTTGTAGGCGCAGCTCTGAATTCCTTTGTTGTCTGTGATCTTTCTTCAATAGCAAGCTTGAGGCACTTCAGTCGGTTCTGGTGCTTCATTCACAGCAGCTTGAGAGCAATTAACATTTGTTTGCCTTATTCATCATTCATTGCAGTCGCAAATTCATGAATGTTGTTGCGTTTTCAAATATTGCCAGCTGCAAGCTGTGAGTGTCTTTAAGGTAGTCTCGCTTTGGATATGTACGAGGATTTTTTTCTACTGATGCTAGTTTATCACATCGCAGTATATTTTAATCAGCTGGATGTTCTTATGTAAACTAAATACGTGATTTGTAACTCTTTGGTATCATAGCAGCCTGCCAATAAATGTTGACATCAATTGTGAATGTCATTTCACATATCCGTGTAAACCCGGAATGCAAGATTGGGAAGACATTCCTTTTAAATGTCATTCGCTCTGAATGACATTACACGTGTCGTATAACAGGGGTATTATATACCTTCCTCTTGAGGGAGGCGTGTATACGCCGCATAACTGTTTGTACTAGTATGATAGCTGATGTCTAAAAAAATTACTGGCAATCTAATGGAGAAGTGTATAACATATCTGTCGTCTCTAAAAAACAACAAACTAGCCATATGCCAGTATTTCTTTTTGCCACCTCCCCTCGTTACTGCTTAACGAATCTCCCAAATTTCAAGGTTGCTAGCTTCGCAGATCCACATTTAAATTTGCAGTTCGCCAAAGGATTTGGCAGGCACTGCAAATGCTAATGTGGACTTCATCATTGTTTGCACAGTGAGGTGGTTCAAAATACTGCTTTTATTGTAGTAGCAGTCCTCATGTTCACTTTGCATGATTTAAGTGATGCTGAATGGTTTATACATTTTTTTGTTTTTCTTTTCTAAATCTGCCTTTCTTACGCTGCTCCAAATTTGAGATTTCGTGCCTGAAAAGTAACATTTTGCCGCTCCAAAAATTGCATCAAATTCTATTTCAGGTGTTTCATTCCTGTATATAGCCTGGAACATTTGCAACTTGTTTGCAGTGCCTTATATTTACATCATTGACTCTTAAAGAACTAAATGACAGTTTTACCCCTGAAGATGACATTCATCTTATAATTCCACTTCAAATCCTCTCTTCGTGCTGCTGACCCAACAGAACTTGATCAATGTTGACATCTTAACTGTTCCTGCACTTTTTAATATTGGGGCTCATAATTTCATGATGAGGGCTCAACTTTATATTCGTCTAAAGAAAGTGCTTGCTCTGGCCGCTTCTGGTAATATTTACAGTGATGGAAGTGTTGCTCCATGCTGCTCCAAACAGTAATTTTTCTTAGTAATTGCTCCAAAGCTGCTCCGAAATGACACTAAGAAAATGAGAGTAACGAACTTTCACTCTTTGATCTACTTACAAGTCCTTAAGAAACCTAAAAGAATTGGTGTACTTTCATCTCAGTATGCTACTAGTGTGCAGCATTATTGGCTATGACTCCATTTGTGTCACAAAACTGTCATATTGACCATATAGGCAGTTTGGCTCTCTTTTTTTTTTTTTTTCTGAGCGGGACATGCAGGCTAGTGTGGTGAAAAGTGAAAATGAGCCGGATTGCCTTTATTTCGTACTGATTATCTATTGCCCATTTGGCAACAGTTATATGGGACTGTGGTTACTTCTAAAATGTGGCGCTTAGCTTTTCCGATTTAATTTTTGATATCTGTCTTAAATACTAGTATTTTAAATTGTAGCTCATTTGACAGCACATTTTTGACAACCTGCCATAGTTTGCTTCATGAAATTTATTTTGATTGATGTCTGGTAAATACATTTTGAAATATCAAATATTTGAGATTCTTTGACAATGCTCTGAACTCCAATTAATGCAGGGCGAATCTAATTTTTGCTTCAAAAACTTTTATGGCTGCTATAAAGTAGGATTTTTCCTGCTCCAAAGTATGCTCCAAAAAGTAAAAAGTCACTTCCATCACTGTATTTGTGTTGCTGACTGAAGAAATCATGCTTTCATAGGAATGTGCACAGCATGCATCGCCTACACTGCTCACCACACATCTGTTTTGTTTGATGTTCTTGAGCAAATCCCAAGTGAGGTAAATCTTTTTCAAGGTAAAAGGGTTCTGCCATGTTTACATGAGTGCTATTCATCTGTAATGGTAAATGATGGCTTGGGACCTTAAAGCCATCAAAAAGAAACTCTAAAGTCTTAGAGTGTGCCTAATATATTGGTTATGTTTCCAAAGTTTATGCTGTGATTTAACTGTGTGATCTGTAAAATTATAACATGAAAGCGGCACATTGTGTAACTTTTTTTTTCTGAATGTAAACAAAAAATAAAGAGCTAGTAAACAATACCAAGGTCCAAAAATTGTTAAGAGAAATATGCTCACTTTTGCTATGTGAACATGCTGCCTCAAGGATTTTGCAATCATGTCCTATAATAAAGAAGTCACAAAGGCTAGAACATCCGTTTCATCTGGATTCAAATTTTTGTGCGGCATCGCCTCCCTTCTTCGCCATAGGGAGGGGGGGGGGGGAGGTGTAGCCCGTCGTTGTGACTCCGCCCGTTTCTGCAACGTAAGACGACATCAGTTGTGGCTATACCGCATCTCCTGGTAGTCTCGAACTCTGCAAGATGGTAGAGGGCAGCACAGAAAAATTAAGTTGCAGACCACGCGGCCGAAACTGCATTGCCGCAGGGCCAAGGTGCCGTTTTGTTGGGCAAAGGACTAATCGACGAGCTCAGTTGTACGTAAAATTCCCCATGGGCAAGCTTGCATCACTGTGCGTACAAGGGGATCGGTCAGGCGAAGGAAAGAGCCATGGGAATTGTTTTTCGAAATGGACGGTCTGCAATGTAATATTCAAAAAATGTGGTCATTGTGGTCTACTGCACGAATTGGCAAGCTTGTTTGAAGGGTGTAAAAAAATGTTGGAGCCTGTTTAGTGGCCCTTTATGTCAGCTTTACCATCGAACACCTTCATAGTCCCCCCCCCCCCTCTTTTTTTGTCATTTGTGTAAGTACATTGGCTACAGCATTATTCAATCATTCACACCATAAATAATAGTTTGATTAAAAAAGGCTATTGAGGATAATTTTAATCTTTGTGACCCTTGCTTGAAGCTTTTGCAACATCTCTCTCACTCTTCGAGCCTGCTTTGTGCTTCTTCTGACTGACTGCATGTGTTCTGCTTCTTTGCATCTGCATGTGACCAGCTGCATGTTGCTTGTGCACCACCATATGGTACTGTTCTCTATGCATTCATAGTAGAGGAAATGTAAGTAATGCGCGCAGCGAAACAATTGTTCGGAGAACTGTATAAACTCATGTTCTTTCACGGAACCAGGGGGGTGGGATGGGGAGTTGGGTCTCGCACCCTTCGTGACCATGAGCACCTTTTCTTCTTTGTTCCTTTTCCCCCCCTTCAAATACGATACCCTGCTCAGAACGGTGTCTAACTGAACATACCAAGCAACATTGGGGATAGGTTGGTCATTCTTCCTTTGCCGAAGAATGTGCACCCCGAATATCACGATAGGGGGGAACAGAGAACACAGGACATACAGAGGAAGTATCGCAAATGTAAAGACGCAGTGTTTATGGACGTGGTTAGGTATGAGTGCAGGTGTGGCTTCGTGGCTGCTATAATAAATGATCAGCACGCTTGCAAGACGTCATGATACGCACGGGGCATGTGGAGACAGCAGAGAAAGTGGCTACTGTGCTCACAGTGGCCACCACCGTGGCTGAAGTTATCAGCAACTCCCGGACAGCAGTCTGCAACTTTACCTACAGCTGCGACTCCCCCAAGGCGTTGCGAATTTTACTTGCGGGCAAAAGCGAAAATAGGGACGTTTACGTCTTATGGGCACCCGCTCACACTACCTCACTCGCCGACAACGAGGTGGAACACAGGGTGGCTCGAGGGCTTACAAACCGAGCCACCACCGTCACCATTACCACCGCCGCCTCGGCTGCGACGTCAGGGAAAAAATGGGAGTGGGATAATTGTCTCACCAGTTTTAAGGATATTAGGCAGCATTACAGACTAGCAGGTGCAAATTTTCACCATCACACCAAAAACTGAACAAGAAGCAGGAGGTCACGTGTTGACAATTGCAGACCAGAACGTTTCCAAACTTTGTGATTTTGAATCTCTGTTACCCAGACCTTTATCTGTCACGCTGCATGTTTTGTGTAACCCTGGAACATATGTTATCAAAGTGTGACAGAGGTGGGGTCCAGGCGGAGACTCGGCCTCAAACTGAACGCGCTGGAAGAGTTTACTGCTCAGCCATGCCCTTGAGGACTAACTCTGGGTCGTCCAGCGGGCCGAGGCAGCCGCCAGAACTCAAGGGCTAGTGGCCAACACCAAGGCAGCAATGTTCGCCCAGATCCCCGAATAACTTGCCGCCATTTTTTTTTTCTTTTTAAAGTAAAGTTGCTCTTCTCTCTCGAATGCGTGGCTTTTTTTGTGCGATTGCGCATGCGCACGTGTTCAAGTCGCAGCCTCCCGTGGCGACCCCAGTAACCACTAAGCATACCATGCTCAAATCAGCCTATGGCTGATACTTGGTCTGTGATGCAGTGATTTTCGAGCATGTAGTGTCACTTGTCAGAAGAAGAGAGAGCGATTTTTGGCTAACTTTGAGAATTTATTAGAAGTTCCAGGCTGCGTGCTGCACTAAAATATTTGGCAAGCGTGCTCTCGGGAGCTTTGACTACCAGTCAAATTTCAAGGCTCTATCAAGCTTCGTGTATATTTCCTCTGTATGCAAGAACACTCTACACAGGTGGCCAGACACAGAAAACGTTTGGAATATATTTCAATTCACTTCTGAAGTGACCTAAATGCTCATTCTCCCAATGGAGGCCCATTGCAAGCACGTCTAGCACTGACATAACTCTAAAGGAAGGGTTGTGAAAGTTGTAGGAAGTTCACACCAAATTTGTAGTAAGGTGAAGGACCTCCGGGTCTCCGTCATGTACATAATGGCAAAGCATCGCGGCTGCTGCAGTAGTGGCATGTTTGTTTGGCAAGTGCTTGTGTGGCATGTGTGTGCGAGAGCAGACGATACTCAGCATGATGTGCGTCAAAGCTTTGTGTGGTTAGTGACTAAGCCACCTACACTGCTGCGTCACTGCCCAACTTTGCACCCAAGAACCAAAGACAAAAATTGTCCGCATAAATAAGGCAATATTAAATTATTGAGTGAGAATAAGTAATCTTGGCACGTGTGTTGCGCTTCTTGGCACTATAAGAAACCCTTGCAGCAGAGGATGTGCAATCCATAAATATAGTGGAACCACCTCTTCAAGACAAAATCCTGCCAACACTTATGCACAGGAATGTGGGTTCTACAGCGTTCTCTTGGATTCTGCTGTCTTTTCATGCTAGTTGTTTATTCTCACCTATTAGAAACTGTCCATTGCTCATCATAATAAAAGTTATGATTTCACATGTGCACATTAATAATTTAGAGCTGGGATTCCCACCGATCATTTATTTTATCCATCGATTCTTTCGATACACTTTTTATGCAGTTATAAAAAAATGCACAAAGAGCAGGAAAATGTAAAAGCCAGGAATTTCAAAAGCCATGTACCTGGACTCAGCAGATTCCATGCGATGCCATGTCTGCAGATTTCACTGCGCTTTTGTTTCTTGTCTGTTTGGTAAGGTATGACGTTTAAACAACTTGCATAATCATGTGATGTGGCAGGGCACACTGAGAGCTCTGGGTCCCTGGGCTCCTTGGACAGCCCACCTGGAAGGCGAGTCTCCTCACTCTCATCACCAACAGACTCCCAGCAGAGCCTCTCACCAGTCCCCACACCACCACCTCATGCTCAGAAAGTTACCCTGCTCACTCATAAGAAGATTGATGGCAGCTTGCCTCGTAAGTTTGTTGCTATGTACATTCAATGTTTGGAGCTTTGGCAAGTTTTTTTTTAAGGTGTTACAAACTGTTCATGTTAATTTCATGTCCTTTTTTCATGTCGTACCATCATTATTTAGTTACTAGGTAGTCAGGAGTGTAAGGTGAAAGTACAGTCTGAATACCCAAAAATAAATCAAGTTTGCACCCCGGTATAAGGCAATGGCATAATGACTCAGCGGTGAATCTTCTAATACTAAATTATTGGAAGTCGTGAACACAAATATGCAGCCTGTTGAATATGTATGCTTGTATCTTGCAGGAGCATGGCCACTAGTATGGGTACGGACTTAGCGAGCCACAGGGCCGCATTTGCTATTGCCTTGTGTGATCTAGTGCGCCGCTGCACATGCGCCTTTGGGCAACAAAGGTGCCAATCTGCAACACTTCATTGCATGTTGTAACAGCGCAAACATGTCATGCCTGCTCCCAAAGGTAGCAGGAGAAGCAAACAGACTTAACCACGTCACGGGCAAAAATACACAATAAAGGGTGCTGCTAGCACGTCTCCGTGGCGAAGGCTCATGGCGACATATTGCTAAGGGAAAGGTCTCTCTTGACCATGCTGTGTACTCTCATGATGAGTGACCACAGGGCCCAATCACTCGAGGTTAGGCAAAGCTCTTAGCATGTTGGTTTTCAATAAGTGCAACTTGGCATAGCATGACCTCGTGCAAACACACTGCACCGCTCTTAGGCCATGTGTTCGCAATGGCAATGTAAGGCCAGCACTTGCCGTTGCACTTGCATGCGAAACGTCTCGCAGCACCACCATTGAGATCCAGTGCTGGGCCAGGGAATAACGTAATCCCTGCTCTTCAAACACTGTAGGATCACAGAGGAGAGGAAAAACATGATCGGACATGTGAGAAGTCAGAATAGGCGAAAACCCCACGCAGTGGCGAGGGGCAAGTCTCAATCCCCCACAAATGGCGAACATTGTATATTTATACTGCCATTTTTATTTGAAAAATGTGCACACTTTTCACTCCTTTTAATCAGCAAGTGCTGCCACCCTGTACAGATGTATTGAATTATTTCCTTTTGCTGAAGTCTTTTTTTTTTTCTTTTTCTTCCTAGCTTTGTTTATGCTGACATGTAGGCTGTTACCCGCATGTTTTGGTTGTATCTGGGCATGTACATGGCACTTAGTTTTAGTTTCATCTCAGATGTGGTTTCACTTGGCTTTCATCGCAAAAGTTTGTTGAGATCCTAGAATGGTAACCGTTTGGTTCATTGAACACTCACTTATGTGGACTTCAAGAGACTCAAAGAAATAATTCATAAAATGGAATATTTACTAGAATATGGAACAGCATTTCGCCCAGCTGAAGTCAGGTCAAACGTGTGAAACGCAATTTATGTTGAAAATAATTCTGTAATTTTCATTTGGACAGGTGCCCTTCAGTGCAAGAAGAGAAAAAAACTGTCTAGAGAGTCTACGTTTCTGTGCACTGCCTCTGGCACAGTTTGTGTTTGTGACACGAAGTCTTGCGACTTTCTAATATATTCTACAGCCTCAGCTAGATATACAGGGTTTGAACCTGCCTCAGCCATCAAAACTTCTTCATGGCACTCTTCCTCATTCGGTTACAGATGAACACTGGAAGAAATTTTATATCTAACGCTCTGCGCAGGGTTATGAAACGCATGTTGCTCATTTTTGACTCCCGCATGACGGCTTTGCCTCGGCGGCATGTATGCACAAGTGATGTTGCACCACTGCCGATGAATTTGTGATTTACGGGCAGCACGCATCGGCTATGCTATTGCTGCACAGCGCAAAACATTGAATTCATCTAAAAAATGAGCCCAGATCCCCTGATCAAGTTCGTTGAACTGTATATTCATTATTCAGAAGTTTGTTTAACTTACATTTTCGCATATAATCAGTGATTCCACTTCCGCGCCAACTGTGTCAAAGTGTGTCAAATCAGATTTACTGCGCCATCTTGATAATATCAAAAGAAATTCCGCCAAGCTGCATCAGTCGGATTTGGGAGCGTCTATCACCGACAATAGCCACGACAACACATAAAAACATTGACATCTTGTTCTCAAGGTTACCAAAGTCACAAATGCGCACCTAAAAATATTATGCTGAACCAACAGCTGTTGGTGTGTGCATCCCAAGTAATCTACGATGTTATGTTTGGTGCGCCCTCTTAACGACGAAACGCGCTCTCCAGAATGGCACGTAGTCCAATTGGTAGCGTGTAACTGGGGCGGTGATTCATCGGTGAAGGTCATCCGTTCTTCGGTGAAGAGCGTGATTGCTGTTGATAGCTTGTTCGAAAAGTTTCGTAGCACGTAAATGAAGTGATTTTCACTAATAAAAACACGCGTGACGCCAGAATGTCTGTCACATCTACTTCTGGACATCGGGATATAATTGTCTGTGCTTCGTGTCCACAGAACTCTTGAACGGTAGGAACACGTGAACACTTTTCCTTTATTATACTTTGTTAACATGGATCTTTATTCAAAAGTACTTTTTCGTAATTTCTCCCATCAGTACCTCCGTGTTTGCAATCGCTGTTGCGGTACAAACCCCTAAAAGAACCTGCTCTTTCAAACTTGAGGTTGCTATGGTCCGAATTGAAAATTCTCGCATGCTTTCTTTTTAAATGTCATCTCACTAGGGAGGATGTGGCTTTGGAAAACCTACTTTTTTAAAACTTATTAGATGTTGACAAAAATTAGCACAAATATTCAGCATGTCTTTGTAATGCTTCTATAAAAGTTCCAAAGAAGTATCTTCAGAACTTTGTATTTAACAGTGGTGATCCAACTGCGCCAATTGCGCCGTTTTGCTACAATTCTATATGACCCAAAACTATTTTTGGTTGCAACAAACACAACTAGAGCTTTTTTCATAATGCCGCTGCTAACCAAAGCGTCTGCGCCTCCGCGTGTGTCTCTGTTGTTGAAAATTTAGCGTGCCGTCAATAGCCTCTCTTATTTGTTATGGAACTGGCGATAATGCGTTGAAGTCACTCCGGGTACTGTAATGTAGTCACTGTGGCCAATGTGCAACAAGTATCGGCACTGCATGCTAGAAACTTCCTGTTCTCCCAAATTAAAATTCAGCCGTGAAACATTTTGTTTGATATTTCGCAAAAAAAAAAAAGTAGGCTCCTCTTGATCACGCTGCGCAACATTATTCGCTATGCCTATCGTAATGTTAAACCTAAATAACCAAGTAGAGCTCGCGAATGTGCAAGGGCTCGTCGCGCGTCTTGATTTCTAAACGAACAGATATAAATCAGTGCACATAACAATTGAGACGCGAGTTCAGCCACAAATAAAAAACAAGTGCTCTCGCGCCTTCTTAATGCCATTAGAAGAATCGGTGTTGTCGTCAGTCGACAAAAAAAAAAGTCAGTTTTACCGCACGGGTGAAGTGATTAATGCGATAGAAACAAATTGTAATGTTATACGAGGTGAGTCGTGTAGTTTCAGCATAGAGATGAGTGCAGGAGGAGATTGGCTTTATGAGACTAGCTAAATGACATCATGTTACGCCCAGCAGTAAATCGGTTGTGAAGAAAAAGAACCTTTATCTTTGAAGTCATCTTAGAAAAATGCAGTTGAGATTGTGTGAGTCTCTGCATTGTACGTCACAGCATTTTGTCTACCATATCTGCTGATAACCAAATAGGTGTATTTAGATTATTTCATGAAGTACAATCTTATTTAACTAATATTCTGTATATTTGCTACGTAAATAATTACTGAACAAGTTTTTACAGAAAGCTCAGCACTATTACGCCATTATTCTTGCATTATCACTGAAATAGGGAGTGCTCCTAAGATGATTATCTCCATGAGATTTGCTATGAATTTAAATATTTCTAGCTCTTCAAGAGCCCCAAAATAGTTATATTCATGTCCTCGAATGTAAATGCAACTTGCTTCACTTCTATTTGAAGTTAGCTGTTCTAGATTGCTTCAAAATAGAAAATTTTGCTGCTAGAAAGTGCTACGAAATGAAAATAATGCTGTTTCGAAAATTGCTCCAAATTGGAAGCCCTCGGTAGCATCAGTGATATAATGCTCAGGAAAACCGTCAGCGATTTTCTAAAAGAATGTCATTCGGAAATATTGTGTTCATGCAAGCAAGAGTTCACTGTACTTGCTTGTTCATTGTTTACAGGGGGTGTGATTTCAGCTGTTCACAGGTGATTGCTGGCATGTATGAATGATGTCTTTGTATATGAACATCAGCATAGTATTCAAATAAGCTGTAGTTAGTTCTTGGCTAAAGCTTGTTCGAGCATAAGAATTGAAAAAAAAAAAAAAGAGGGACAAAAAGAGGACAGACAAGCTGAACAGAGACATCCTTGTCAATATTAGGTATAAACAACACTGCTGTACCTGGTGTGTTTCTTTTCTTGAGAATTGCAAGCACTACTTGCTTTTAATAATAATAATTATAATAATAATAATACATGGGGTTTAACGTCCCAAAATCATGATATCATTACGAGAGATGCTTCAGTTGGGGACTCCGAAAATTTTAACTGCCTGAGGTTCTTTAACTTGAATATAAATATACGGATCACTGAAAATGCGGCTGCCGTGGCCGGGATTCCCTATCTTGACCTGTGGGTCAGCCCTTGGGCAATATATCTACTAGACCACCATGGTCTCTGATTTCTTTTCATTTACTGGAAGTTTCTTTCTTGTTGGTTGGTTTTTGTAGTGGGTGATAGCAAGTTTTGCAACACAAAAGCTCGGAAACAGATCATATTTCACACCAATTCTGAGATTGTGTGTCATAGGCAGTTTCTTTGGAAAGAATTCCCAATGGGTGTCTATGGTGCTGGCACTGCTTATTCTTGGCTCTGCCCGTAAAGCTGTGGGCAGTAATAAATTTTGACACTATAGAGATGAGTGACAGCTGTGTCATGGAGATAGCTGCTGATTCTTAAGGGGTCAATTTGAACAATCTCTGGTAG